AGATTACATTGTCGGTAAACGTAAAGTATCGGTGCCCTTCCCTGTGAGCTTATCCATGCAAGTTTAATTTAGTGGAAACAAAATTTGTAAAAATTTAATTTACCCTTTTGATTTTTCGTATCAGTAATTTCCTTTTTGGGAAGGGCTCCATAATACTTTACAATTACCACATTGTTATTACACGACAATTTGAAAGGATGATTTTCCCATTTCCCTCTATCCTGGACACCCCTGTAAGTTGGACACATTATCGTGGAACCGCAACTGTCCAAGTTAGAGAGGTTATACTGTATAACTCTGCTGCTGGTAGCTTATCTATCCAAGAAATGCACTGTCATTTTTGTTTGAACCAATCAGATCTCAGTAAATAATAAATATAACACATAACTTCATGATTTACACAGTGGACTGAAATATTGGATGAAGGTTACGGCTGGAAATTTAGTACGGTTATAATGAAATCATAGAGATGGTTTGATGGCCATACGTTTTGGAAAGTTGCCGTGTGGAAGACTAAGATTTTCTTATTGAAATTCACAAAGAATTAAAGATATAAAAATGTTGGTAATGAGTTTATCAATCTAATTTATTCTAAGATCAGATTCCATAGTTGCGTCCCTTGTTCAATAACCGGTACTGCAAAGCTGCGTACCTGACCGGGAGACCAGTTGGCTTAGTCGCAACCAGAGGATTCTGTACTGCCCTATGCTCTGCGCTGTGTAACACTTCCGCCTCAGTTCCTCCTGCAGAGGGGAACCAAATTATAAATCTTCATATTATACAATAAGTCCCGGAAACTCCATGGTGACGAGAGTAATAAAATTGTACTCTTCACAAAATATTATCTTTTCATCACATGAAAGAGAATGGGGTGGACGCTAAGTCATGAGCAGAATTAAATTTCGTTATTTCCTTTGTCTACGTCAACAGAACTTGATTTGTAACTTTTTCGTTTGAAGCTGTTTGCTAAATGTATAAATTAAACGTTGTGTTTTTTGAACAAATTACTTTTCTCTATAAATGACAAATTAAGAGAGTCCATGACATAAAATATTGCGCATGCTACGCACTTTATAATATTTTAAACTTAATTTTAAGGCCGTATATTTAAATTCTTATTCTCTCAACATCTTGTTTCTGGTGAGCAATTGAAGCATTAGAGCAGAAGATCAAAATGGCATTTATAAATAGCTTTTATGCTTTTTAAATGATTAGTTGTAGTGGAAATGAATTGAATTGAGTAGTAATGTGATCAGTTTCTTGAGAGTATGTCATTAATATCCTAAAGCTGTTAAGAGAACTCAGAATGTCAAAGTGCAAAGAAAACAATCGGGAATTCTCTGAACTGCCGTATCGATTGTTCTTGTTTTCAAGATGATAAATTTTAACGATAGGCCAGTTCATCATGGATTAATTTCCTAGGATTATACGAAAAGAGTGAAAATTTTTTTATTAGTTTTGTTGTTCAGGTATGTATATAATTTGTGTAATTTGGAATATTTAATATCCTATTGCCCTTCTAGTTTATTTATAGCAAATATAACTCCATTGTTGCAGCGCTAAACATATCTAAGACAACACAGCTAAGTACTGAATTATTGCGCGTTTCTTGCAAGAAACGAAAGAATGACCGTCTCTCCGTCCGTGCGCAGGATTCAACTCTAGAACCAATGGACGAATTTGAGTGTAATTTGGTGTGGACGTTATCTTTTATTAATTGGCACATTTGTTCTTCAAAAACCATGTTAAGGGATATTTATTTTATGAGATATTATAAAGGTTAAAATTGTTACAATGCATTATAACGTACCGCCAGTGTAGGATGGAGCTGTTTACACTAAAGGCTGCTTTTCAAACAAATTTTATTGCCCTGGAAGAATAAGCAACTTTTATTAGACATAATTTCATATTTTCAGTGCGTAAATAATTATAAGAAACTGATTTGCTTTATACATGTGCAATTTAAGAGCCTCCCGACGCATTTCGTCTAATAACTGACTTAGATTTTAAAGGATCACATAAAATTCATTTCTATTACTCCTATTTGTCAGACCTTAAAGTTCCTGGACAGAGATTTTCCGGCTGTTTACAGAATTCTGCACGCGGTATGCCAAAGGGTTACGTAACAGTTAACTAGTGTTATGGCGTAGAATAAGCCCGGAATTTGCCATATGCGAAGGTATGGAGTGAAGAAGTGGAATGTTATAGCTGAAAACCCAATGGTGGAGCAGCGGATGGCGTGAAAAATGCAGCGTTTCTTGACGTTCAATGACAGTCTATTATGAGTGACTTTGAGGAAGAGTAGCTAAAAGAGAAGAAAACTTCTATTGTAATTCAGTGTGTTTGCTCTTAGTCAATTAATTTCTTTTCGGGTTTCAACAATATCTACCATTTGCTTTCAAAATTGATTTACATACCTGAAATTCAGTCCACTTGTTGATGTAATGAACATAGTTGGAGGCGTCCAGCCATATAAGTACAGGTGAACTTATGGAAATAAACATAACCAAAATTAGCATTGAGTAGAAGATCGTGGTCAGGAAATCGATCTTCTCAGAAAACAGCACGGACGACAGATCTCCGACGATGAAACAGATTATAACCGTTGTTACAGCATAGATGCACATGGAGTAGGCCATGATTGACGAAAACAGCTCGAATGTTGGGACTCCTGAAATTAGAGGCAAAATTGAAGCAAATTGTTTTCTGGACATTATTCATCGTCGGAGATTAAATAAAATCAATAAAACCACGACGTTTCTTAGATCGGGGTGTATGTCCGTCTTCAGGTAAAACCTACTCCTTTAGCCCCAATCGATAGAGCTAATCCCTATCTCCGGACATAGCAGAAGTGGAAAGTAACCGGTGCAATGAAAACAGCTCCTACAGTAGTAGTTGAGGACCACCTGGGGCGCTTCTTCTTCATTTCAAAATGGTGGCCGAGATCCACGCGGAAAAGTACAGGTTCAATTGCAATAAACATTGAAAGCCCAAGTATATTTGGCACGGAAAAGAGAGCCAAGCGCAGGTCATGAGACTATCCATTTCACAGATAGGGACCGTTACAATGATTCCGGGGCTTACATTCCAAATCCATT